ACATACACGTTCGCATCTCAGACACGCGAAGCGGAATTATAAATATTCTATACTCAGCGAACAGTTTCATCTGAAACGAATTAATTACACCCATTCAGTATTCCGCGAACATCGAAAGCGACCGCAAATAATTTACACCCACACAACCGAACTTATATATATAAAAACATCTAAATCGAGCACATAAAATTTCATGTATAAAAATGTCAATAAAACGCACACAGGCGCGCTGCACACGGAGACCGCACACAGCAGCGAGAACCCACACAGCGGACGGTAACCTTTCGCTTGAACGATATGTATTGCGACTACATAGAAGCAATCTTTCAGGGCGGGCACGCACACATCGCCGCGTGTTTTCAGGGAAGACTCGCTCGGTTTTTTCTGCAGTGGCTCTGTGTGCGTGGGGGAGGGGGGTGGTAGCATACATTTTCAGGAAGGCTCCGGCGTCACAAGGCGTCTTTCAGCGTTCCGAAGCCGCACACATTGCCGGCTATCGGCGAGACGAAGGAGCAAAGAGTGGACGCAGATTACTTTTCGGATATCAATATCATTCATTTTCTATCGCATTAGAACGTAAGGCGCATTTAGAGACACTCTGTTCTGTTAGTATACCTAGATTTTGTAAAGAAATTGAGTTAAAATACACATTGGGAGTCTTCTAATATTAGTCACTTCAATATTTCAAATAATTTGTACAATATTACAATTTAAGTAGTATGTAACATAGGTTAGTAACGCATGATTTATTTTTATGTCTTTGATTTTCTCTCCACTTGCAAAACACGATCGTTTTTTTTTATATACTATCATTTTCTAATGTGTCTTTAGTTTTTGGAAATAGCATGTACTTTTCCTTCATTTTCCTTTCGTACATTGTCTCCTTGTCTCTTCCTCTGTATCTGTGAGTACGACTTCCTCACCCTTTACCATACTGGTGGTAGGACCTCTTGTGAGTCCGCACGGGTAGGTACCACCGCCCCGCTTATTTCTGCCGTGAAGCAGTAATGCGTTTCGGTTTGAAGGGTGGGGCAGCCGTTGTGATTATACTGAGACCTTAGAACTATATCTCAAGGTGTGTGGCGCATTTACGTTGTAGATGTCTATGGGCTCCAGTAGCCACTTAACACCAGGTGGGCTGTGAGCTCGTCCACACATCAAAGCAATAAAAAAAAAACCCTGGCATGTATACGTCAACATATGAATACAGTTCCTCGCCTATTTAATCAAATTAATTTCCCAAAGATGAAAAAGTCGAAAAGCGTTTCGACTTATTCGATTTAAGAATTATATAATTCCAAGAAATTATCCATAAATTTGTTTTCTCTCTTACCATTTCCCCGAGCGTAGTCTACAGAATCGGGCGGCCAGATCAGAGGGCGGGCGGCGCTGGTGTGAGGCGGCTACGTGTGTGTTCGGAAAAATGCCTTATGATCCTGCCACCGGGCTTCCAAGTTTTTATCCTGGGCTACACTGTTGGATGATGTCAAATATCGAACCGAATATTATTAGCAACTGAAATTCATCTCGATTCTGGATTTTTTATGCGCGAAAGTCTAAGTACTCTTGTAGCGTTTAAAATAACTAATTTGTAGATGACGAAAATTCAAGAAAATTATTCATATTTTTAGAAGAAGAAAAAACGACTTAGCCGACTATTATCGTTCTGGAAAACATTGCAAATTGATGATTTGTTGTTTGTAACAGCTGTGAAGATATTCGTGTTTAATAACGCATGAACTATATTTAGCTGGAATCGTTTTTCGAAAATCGTGAGCAATCGTGAGTAGATATTAATTTCCGAAAAACTTAATATCAAAGTTCAAACCTAAGACTGTGACAGGCAGGCGCGAGTAATTCCAATTAACAGTTTCAACAAAATAAAAATACTACAGCAATGTCTCCAATACTCATAATATATACAATATATAAAAATCACACGAACTACTGGGTTCCCCCTCCGCTTCTCCCCGTGAGCGCTGGGTGGGGGGATCCTCCCCAGGGTGACAAGAACCCTCTCCAACCGGACCAGGTGCAATGTATTGGTGCAATCTAGACTTTCGTTGCATTAGTTATATGGGCTAGCTCGATATTAGTTTGTACAGGGTTGCTCCGATCAAAACGTTTAGTGAATTAAACAAGGTTATTGGCAGAAAACTAGGGATGGAACGTTGTGGAGGAGGATTCTTGAAGTTTGAGTTGAGTATCTGACTAACAAATCATGATCATAAATGGGTTCATCGTCAAAAAGGTGTTAGATTTTTATCGGCCTACATATCTATACTAATATATAAATATACAGTGGTTTTTACGGATGTTCCGTTATAACTACTGAACCATGCATCCGATTGACTTGAAACTTTGTATCCACGTAGAAAACACATGTACTTAATGGATGGGCTAATATTTGTATGAGTGTTGGACTCCCTAATAATAATGAGAATAATTTTATTTTTAAATGCCCTGCGAAGCGGGCGAGTACCGACGGCTAGTACAATAATAAAAGAACACTTTTTTGCTATGCGAGTGTTGCGATTGACCCGGAAGCTTGTCGCGTAGCCAGGTCGAGTTTGAGATAAAATAGCCACCCATCTCAAGACCACACTGTTCGAAGTAGAGAGTAGATTCTATTCCTCTTAAATCTAATAGAATTGAAAACGCAAACTTGCACGTAAATGCTTCTGCGTTGCTCTAAATTCGAACTTCCTTCTTTGCCACTGAAGTTTAACGTGGATTTGAACTTAATACTCCGGCAACTGTAAAACCCCCACAAAGGAATATCCTTTTGACGGTTCACTAAGTACAAGTTGCATTCGAAATATTTAATGCATATTTCGGAAAGTTACGTAAACTGAATTTATACAATTTCCGACTCGAATTTTGATATTTAGGAGGCAATGATGCCGAGAGGCTCGTGGGTAGTTTCTACCGAGTAGTCATGCGGTCCGGTTCCAGGGGTAGGTTAGACGAAAACAATTGGGATTTCGACTTCATGATTTGTAGTGGGCAAGTGCCGTGTTTTGACTTCGGCAATCGATTACTATCAGGTGAGCTGTGAAAAAAATATGTTTGAAAGGTTTTATTATTATTTTTCAAACGTGAGGTCGTAGGCCCTTGGTTTTGAATGCTCTCGACGGAAGGACGATCTCCTCGTATCTTGGCTGGGCTTTAATACAGCTTAGTGATAGTTATAAACTGGTCGATAGTACAAATTATACCTCTTACCACCAGTAGTTACTATGTAGGTACTAATAAAAATAACGTAGACTGCATGTAGTGGACTGTAGGATTAGGATGGGCAAGGAACTTAATAAATAAACTCGCGAGGATTGCACGGATTGCAAAATTTTTATTTTTGGATATTTTATAATTCGCGTACAATAGCACGGAAAAAAGAGAATGACAAATCTAAAACATTTCAAAATTCAAAATTCAAAAGCAATGTCAAAACCACAACACAACAATAAAAAAGGTTTTATACCAATTTGTTGGGTTGCCAACACTGCGTTCACCATCGCGTCCACCATCGAGTGCCCATCACTTGGCCTGCCAAACAATCTATTGGTAATTTATCATTAATAAATTTCACCAGCATAAAGTACTTCTTAAAACAATTGTTATCCCTAACTTCGAATTCTCACTGAAAGTTCCCGGGATCGAGTTCGTATAGAACCTCGGGCCGCTGGTAAGCTACGCTCGGTAAACACTATTTTTATGAAACCCATAAAGAACTGGCCAGGAGCCCCGCTTACGTACACTTTGATTTTATTTAAAAACTAGGTGCGAGAATAACTTCCAGTTAGCCGCCCGCCCCGGCGCTGGGGGTATATTGAAAAATTTCCAAGCAAAATTTTTCTTGCTTTTCGTAATTATTTTTTTTGGAGTTTGTTTTGGAGTTTTTGATAAAAAAATAATCGGTTGTCTGTAAAGTCGGTTTTTTGACGATAGTTGAACGTGACAACGTCATAAGAAAACACTGATGGAATGGTTTCATTTTTCAATTATCGCAATCATCATTGCTATAAACAATTGACACCACATTCACTTTTCACTGAACTTCATACTTGACGAAAACATGTAAATGTATTATTGTATAGCAGCTGTCCACGCGGATGCATCGCTCACTCAAGTAGGAGAGAGACAGATGTCGAACGCTGCCGAACGCGGAGGCCGATTGTGCCTCTTTGTCGCTCGTCGCGCGCTCTCGCTTGCACTTCAAGCCTTAAATGGAACGCCTCAGAGCGAGATAACGCCGCATGAGTCATGTTTTTTCGTGCGTGCAGCCGGCTCCATCGAATTATAAGACGTTGTCACGTCAAAACGTAAATAGCACATGCTGATAAAGACTTGGTGAGGGAAAGGTGAGCTAAGGGTGGGTCTTAATTGCTCTTTATGCACTGACGAGCTCACGACGCACCTAGATCCTGAACGGACTTAGAATCAGATGTCATCTTCACACGTCACCTCAATGGTTACATGTAACTCCTTTCCCCTATGAGTCCACTTCCTCATAGGAACAGAATCAGTTACTATACAAACCTGTATCATCTCTATCATAACAAACCGTAACTAAGTATATCTCTGCATAAGCTCAAAAGCTCGGAAGCTCCATCATTAAAATTTCCGGCGGGATCCAATATGGATGCTGGATTCGTTCAAAACTACATCACGAAAGTCATCCGCAGAGGATTTTTCGTAGCACATCACTATTAAATGTGAAATATTATATCGGAAATAGTAATAGGAATGGGACGTGAATAGTCGATAAAATAATAATTATTCTAACAGATTCCTATTAGTGCCCACCCGGTGTTAAGTGGTTACTGGAGCCCATAGGCATCTACGACGTAAATGCGTCTCCCAGTTTGAGATATAAGTTCTAAAGGTCTCAAGTATAGTTACAACGGCTGCCCCACACTTCAAACCGAAACGCATTATTGCTTCACGACAGAAATAGGCAGAGTGGTGGTACCTACCCATGCAGACTCACAAGAGGTGGGATGGCAGGTGCACTAGCCCGTCTTCTCCCCAACGTCGGTGGTTGCAGCGCCGGCGTCCGGCGTCTGTACCTGGGGGTCGTGCGCAGTATGGCTTTGTACGGAGCTCCCGTGTGGTCGCCCGCACTCTCTGCGCGCAATGCAGCTTTGCTGCTACGAGCGCAGCGGGTGCTCGCGGTGAGAGTCATCAGGGGGTACCGTACGATCTCCCGGGAGGTCGCCTGCGCCCTCGCCGGTTCCCTTCCTTGGGATCTCGAGGCTGAGGTAGCAGCTGCGGTATACCGGCGCAGAACACAGTCCCTGAGTCGGGGACGGACGCCCGGCCCGTCGGCTGTCGGTCGGTGGAGGCGTGCTGCGCGTCATCTGGCGTACGCCAAGTGGAGGGAGCGGTTGCTGGAGGAGCTTGGCCAAACTTCAGTCACTCGCCGACGCACCCTCGAGGCCCTGGTGCCCGTGCTGGAGGCATGGTCAGATAGACGACACGGCGTGCTCTCCTTCCACTTAACGCAGGTCCTCTCGGGGCATGGTTGCTTCGGGAGGTACCTGTGGAAGGTCTGCAGGAGAGAGCCACATCCGGGTTGCCACCAGTGCGGGCATCCGGACGATGACGCTCAGCACGCACTCGAAGCGTGCCCGCGTTGGGAGCGCTCGCGGCGAGACCTCATCGCGGTGCTGGGGAGAGACCTCTCCTTGCGGGCTGTCATCGCCCGCATGCTAGAGGACCAGAATTCTTGGGAGGCCATGACCAGGTTTTGCGACCTGGTCATGGCGTTCCGTGAGGCTGAGGAGCGCGAAAGGGAGTGGGATCCCTCTTCGGCTTCACAGCGAAGAAGGCGGAGTGGGCGGCACGGGCGCGAAGCTCCCGTTCATCTCCCGTAGGGGCTGTCGGGTGCCGGGTGCGGGGGTGCCCGGTACTCGGCTGTTGGTCCGGTGGTGAGGCGGCGCAAGGTGGCTCCTGTGCACCGCTCACGGTGTGTCTCCGAGACGACGTCCTGCGGGATTTTCCCGGGGATGGAGTGCCGTCCTATTAACAGGATGGGTACCGGCGACGGCGAGCCTTCGGCGCGCACTGTGCGGTACCGTGGGTTTCGTGGAGTCGGAGTGGTGGGGCTCGATGGGGTTTAGTCGGTAGTCGTTCTGCGGGACAAGTGCTTCGCGCGCCTTTTTCAAGGCGTAGTCTCCTGTGAGAAATTGGGGGAGGTGAAGGACCTCGGCTCTTCTCTTCTCCCCTTTTTCCTCTCAGGAGGCGCCGGAGTCCGACATAACCCGGTCCGTTACCCCCCTCGACCGGGTATCCGTAAATGGATTCCCCAGCGTTAAAAAAAAAAAAAAAAAAAGCCTCACAAGAGGTCCTACCACCAGTATTAACGTGAGAGTTGATAAACAAACATCGTGGTAAGACTTTTATCAGAAATATCTTCTAGCCGGGCAGCTATCTGCTCCAGTACGCACTTAATACCAAATAGACTGTAGGGGTTTAATCTTTTGTACATATCATGTTAAAAAAAATTACGTTCGTTTTCCGCTTTCCTACTTAAACTTCTTCACTTTTCCTGATCTTCGGCATCCTTCTGGGTGGGCTTACTTTCCTCCATATCCGACTTTACCACGTCCAACCAGGGCTTTTTGGGCTTACCGCAAGATCTCGGACTGATTATAAACCTTCTATTGCGAGTATTAGGTACTTCTAAACAATAAATGAATATTCAATCGAAATAAAATAATAAATGTAAGGTATTTTTTGCTATGTTGAATATTTCCCAACACTATTATATTATGCAATGTTTCACTGGGATCGAGTGGGACCGACGCGTCGTATATCGGGCATATTCCGACTGCACCCCGAACGTCATATATACGAAACTGGAATACGGGCCTAGATACACCGAGAGAACTTAATGTAGGCGAATAATACATTCGGAGTTTTACTGGTGGTAGGACCTCTTGTGAGTCCGCACGGGTAGGTACCACCATCCCGCTTATTTTTGCTGTGAAGCAGTAATGCGTTTCGGCTTGAAAGGCGGGGCAGCCGATTTAAATATACTGAGACCTTAGAACTTATATCTCAAGGTGGGTGGCAGCATTTACGCTATAGATGTCTGTGGGCTCCAGTAACTTAACACCTGGTGGGCTGTGAGCTCGTCCACCCATCTAAGCAATAAATAAAAAATGTAAGGAGATTTCCACTGTACATATGTCGTCAGGCAACGGAAGCTTTACGCTTGTGGCGTCTTAATCCTTAAAAGTGCCTTATCTAAGAATCTATTGCCATCAAAGACATCGTACTAAGAACGAAGTCAACGTCTTGTTAAATTATCAATTGCATAGTGTAAAGACTGACCTTTCTTGGAGGAGTAGGAAGTCTTCAGATCTTTACCCACCAAAATTCCAAGCTACCGATTGCGGTTGACACAAAACTAAGGCAGAGCTCCGTTTAAAAGTGGCGAAGATATCTGAAGATCATTAGCTGCGAAAATTTTAAACAAGGTGTCTTGGTGATTTGGTTCTCAATTGACTTTTATTGACTAATGTTTAGGGCATGCCTGACCACCGCAATACGATCCTTGCGTGCCTCTGTCAGCTACAGAATTGTACCTGGCTCTTAGTTTATCGGGCAGCGGGTGTGATGTTGTTTACGCTTATCTATATATATAAAAATGAATTGCTGTTCGTTAGTCTCGCTAAAACTCGAGAACGGCTGGACCGATTTGGTAAATTTTGGTCTTGAATTACTTGTGGAAGTCCAGAGAAAGTTTAAAAGGTAGTTAAATATGAACACGCTCGGAAGTCGGACGGATTCCTTTTGTTTGTTTAGGTCTTTTATTTATCGATTGAGGCACTACGAAGTCTGCCCGGTCAGCTAGTTAAGAATATATTTTAGCTCTCATTGTGTCGCAGTCTTCATAAGCGGAGCGTTCTCGACTGGTCGAATGGCGAACGGAGGCGATACCAGCCGATCTCATAACTGCTCAGGGTGTGAGGGCCGCTTCCTGAAGCGTTTATAATATGGCGGATGCCTTTGGTGCGAAACTAAAATTCGATGATTGAGGAAAGTAAAGAATGTTCATAAGGCATATTGTCACACCATGCTACTTACTGTTTCGCGACATAGTTCTAGCTGTAGGCAGCGGCTTGGCTCTGCCCCTGGCATTGCTGCAGTCCATGGGCGATGGTAACCACTCACCATCAGGTGGGCCGTATGTTCGTCTGCCTATAAGGGCAATAAAAAAAAGAAAACTTCGATCCGTATTCTTCAGAATCAATGCGTGAGCTGATCGATACCAGCATCTTCATTATTTTCGCTGCAAATCAGTCATAGATTCCAAATCGTAATGTATAAGGTACAAAACTTTGGGTCAAGGATCCACTTAGACTTAGTTGAGAGGTTGTTGACGTCTGTGAGAGGGCATTGACCTGCGTCTCGATTGACTGAAATTATTTAACGTCTTACGAAGTTTTAGTATTATCGTATCACAAATAATTACCACTTCAAACACTCAAGACGTTGTTAGAAAAATGAAAAACTATTTGATAAAAATAGTAAGTAACAGTACCTGCTCTAGAGAAAGTTTCAAAGTAAAGCCGCCAGCACACACACGATCCTATGTGAATAAATACAAACCTAACATTATTCTTCTGTTATCTGTATAGGAAGCGACGAAGGACCGACAGAAAAATATTATTCTATTTAAAAAAATAATCTCTTTGCGGAAAGTGTGTACTCGGTTTAGCTTTGTCACAAAAGTGTATATTATTTTACTACTAAGCACAGCAGTATTGTTGAATAATCTGGATTTTATTAACACGCCTTCATTAGTTTGACTTGTATTTATTTAGACGAATCTTTAAACAAATTTTTAAGGACTTCAAGACTTGAAATTTACTTGAAATTTTGCACACGTACCACATATTTGGTAAACTATGGATCAGGATAATAACCAGAATTAAAAAAAATTAGTTTTGGATTTTAAATAAGTCGTCAGGCTACTTCTCTAAAGTATTCGAGATTCCTTTGAAACAGAAGGAATAAAGTAGGTGTTTATATATTTTTATATTTGTTGAATGCGTAATTTTATTTTTAAATTTTTAAGCTCACAGCATGGGAGAGAATCTAACGAATGTGAAAATTTCAACTTATAATTAATCAATCGAATTTGTTAAACTATAAACCCTTTTTTTTGTAAGTTATATAATATAATAACTACGGAACCGTAATGTGAAATAAATTCACTGCAAACTTTTGCCTAACCATCGTTTTTTTGTCGGCACCAGAAATGGCGCGGAATGAGAGTTTTTAATTTTTCGAAGCGACACGAGCTCTATATCGGTACAGGATACACGCAGCCACGAGATAAGTCCGTAGTCCACGTAATGAACTGCTCAAACTAAAATGGAGGTAGTTGGATGTTTTAAAAATTCGTGAGTTCAATACGGAATCCTACTTATAAAGTATTTGGAACAAAGGCTGACAGAAGTCATTGAACTTCGCTGGAGAACGCTAATTTAAAAACTTGTTCGAATCGTTCCACCAACATTACAGAAGTAAATTTTCAAATAGACATTCGATTTTCAAAATCGACAAACGTCAATCGTAAATACCTATAGGCGAAGGCGGTAACACGCACACAGACGTGAAATCGAACGTCGAACACACGTATCGGTTCGAGTGTGCGTACTCGTGTCCAATCGCGCAGAACCGATCAGCCAATCACCGGGCTCCGTTCACACTCGATAATATACGACTACTTTAGTTCGACCTTCGATTTCGTTGCGAGTTTTCCTCCGTTCAATCGATGGTGTGTGAAGCGCGCGGGGCGGTCGAGCTCCGGTTACGCTGGTCGTTCGAAAACCGAAAGTTCAATATGCCATCGGCTATTGGTGGTGGGTTACGTGACGTAGATTTTCTTTGGCATTTTTTTCGTTCGTAAATGGGTGTGCACGTAGCGTCCGCAGACACAGCTCGCTCGGCGACTGATTGGTACGGTTGACGCCGGACTGCGTTCACAGAGAGCGCGGGAAAGTATTTTCATTAGGATCGCCAAAAAAGTTTAATGTAAACTTCAATTTGATCTTTAGTCACCCAACCTTAGCTAGCCAGAATTACAAATCTAGGAGTATTATTAACAAGTAACTAAAAATAAAATATTTATTGAATGTATTTAAAGATGCAATTATTCTTGACTGTAATACCATGACCCCGTACAAGTTACTTCGTCCAGTAAGATCGTGGCCTCCATCATGCAGCCGTCACGTGCTCTAGTTACAAAGACGTCATGAAGAGCCGGTACATCATGCGACTGTGACATCAAGCTCAATATGACTAGTTACCGAGGCCGCTTCCTGTCGCCTCCTCAAACGTATATATATCCTTGGGAATACTGTAATAAAATGTCGTGAAGATACAACGGACGGGGGTAGTTCCCACCCCTATCGCGTTAGTATAGATTTTTTCACCCCCACACCCCAACCACGATCTGATATTAAATGCTAGTATTTCTATTTGTAGTTAAGAAGTGTTTAAAACTTTCATTATTGTTGGCCTTCTTGCCTCCCCAGTCGGAACGGTGTGCGCTGTCAGCTGACATGTAGCATTGTCAATGTTAATACCGGGCTCACAGCTCGGCACTATGTGTGCTCTTCGAATAAGGCTTCGTTACTTAAACCTATTGCGATCCGGGATAAACCTCACGCCATGGGAGTGGTCTGTGAATCAAAGACTTTTGATTATTTCTATCGTGATTCACAAATGGGAACATTAGGTTTTGGTGAATCGGCCTCAACTGGATGTAGACAGAGCGCGGTCGATTCAATAATGCGTGCACCGTGAGGTCGATTTTGCAACAACTTATTGTATCTTTTTTTTTTTTTTAACGAATCCATTTACGGATACCCGGTCGAGGGGGGTAACGGACCGGGTTATGTCGGACTCCGGCGCCTCCTGAGAGGAAGAAGGGGAGAAGAGAAGGGCCGAGGTCCTTCACCTCCCCCAATTTCTCACAGGAGACTACGCCTTGAAAAAGGCGCGCGAAGCACTCGCCCCGTAGAATGACTACCGGCTAAACCCCATCGAGCCCCACCACTCCGACTCCACGAAACCCACGGTACCGCACAGTGCGCGCCGAAGGCTCGCCGTCGCCGGTACCTATCCTGTTAATAGGACGGCACTCCATCCCCGGGAAAATCCCGCAGGACGTCGTCTCGGAGACACACCGTGAGCGGTGCACAGGAGCCACCTTGCGCCGCCTCACCACCGGACCAAACTTATTGTATCTACATCGAAGATCTGACGTATTTAGTTGAAAAACTTCGTATTATTGCACTGTTCGGTCTTATGGAAGTAGCGATATCAAGATTGAATTGTAAGGACATAAACAGTTCACCACTGCTTGCAAATTATCTTGTCGTTAAGGTAAGACAAAATACTAAATGCGTGATGTATTCTTTGTTTAATTTTTTTTCCTACCAATTCATTGGTAATTTAAGGTACTATTTCAGTTACGCTCTGACTGGTAGGTGAGCTCACGGGCTCAACCTGAGAGAATTGCTAACACTAGCCCTAGCAAGAGCAGTGCTTCGTAAAACCTACCACCGGAATCGGAATCGTGACCCACGAGGCGACTTTTGCGGGCGATGGCATGTTTTTTATTTATTTATTTTTTATTGCTTATGCTTTTATGCTTATAGATGGACGAGCTCACAGCCCACCAGGTGTTAAGTGGTTACTGGAGCCCACAGACATCTACAACGTAAATGCGCCATCCATCTTGAGATATAAGTTCTGAGGTCTCAGTATAGTTACAACGGCTGCCCCACCCTTCAAGTCGAAACGCATTACTGCTTCACGGCAGAAATAGGCGGGGTGGTGGTACCTACCCGTGCGGACTCACAAGAGGTCCTACCACCAGTAAGAGTAAGTCTAATGTAAAACCAAATAATATATAAATAAATTAGTTTCTGGGAGCCTGTTTGGGGCTTGGAGTTGCAGTGAATTGTCAGTTAACAAGAACTCGTAGGAAGAGGACAAATGACGTATCTTGAAGCTTCTCGATTTGTCTATTTTAGTTATGGCCACATCATTGTGTCCTGTGAGATCTGTTGTGCATTTACCGTATAGGTACAGCATCAGAGATACAGTCGCATCTGCACGAACCCGCGACCTCTGATTTGAAAATAACGTAACACTGATAATATGTGAATACTAAAAAAAAACTTTGAACACAAATAAGACTGAACATTATTATTGCACAGAATTAAAATTCCTAGTCGAGTTTGCAGTTAAAATTGAAATTCCATTAAATAGATAGCTTTTAACGTGCCAACTCGGGGGAGGCAAAATAGCGGGAGGTGGGGGGAGTGGAGGGGGATATTAGGTTGGATCACTAGACGTTTTTTCTGGACCGGTTCATTCTGAATGATACTTAATTCGGCTACAATTATTTTCATGTGTTCCAGTATTAGGTATTTTGTTTTTAGAAGCTTAGTATTATTTATTTAAAATGAATTTGCAACATCAGGGTCATCGGGTTAGTTTTTTTTTATTATCTCCTAAATGGGTGGACGAGCTCACAGCCCACCTGATGTTAAATGGTTACCGGAGCCCATAGACATCTACAATGTAAATGTGCCACCCACCTTGAGATAAAAGTTCTAAGGTCTCAGTATAGTTATAACGGCTGCCCCACCCTTCAAGCAGAAACGGGCAGCAATAGGCGGGGTGGTGGTACCTACCCGTGCTGACTCACAAGAGGTCCTACCAGCAGTAAAGATTAGATATACTATAGTGAAGGAAGACTGACACGGTGACGTTTTATTTAGAACGAATAAATACTAAGTCGAGGGCCGTGAGTTCGATTCTCACTTCGGGTACACATTCTTCTAACAGGATTGCTTGTTATCTGGGCATTTGCCACATAAAATCAGTCCACGACCGAGTAGCGTTCATACCTGGTTGACTCTATCTATCCGATGATCTACAAGCGAAGTAAGCTGTCCATTCGTAGTTAAG